AAAAAAAAAAAAAAAAAAACATAAAAGTTTATATGGAGCTTATACTCATAAGACCCATTTTATGTATGTTAGAAAGCACTGCTGAGTACGTTATGGAAGTTTCCTAAAATTGAGGTGTAAGACAAGCAAAGTGATTCAATTTCTCTGAGCCTTTAAGTTCTTATTCACCCGGGGAACTGTTCTCAGAAGGGTAGGTAGACACACGATGTCAGCACTCATTTAACCCCAAACATTATTTTCTCTGCTGTGTATATTCTGGGATGTTTACTTGAAATCCAGTTAAGTCACAATGACATGTCATACTTGTTTTGTAATTCTATAAACAGCAGACCATTTCTAGGGCCCAATGGGTATTTTTTGCAAATAGGTTTCATATAAAATCTGCAATTTTCTCTATATAGATTTTTTTAAAGTTTTAAAGTTATATAGACGATTGAAATAATCACAAAATTTTATATCATAAAGCTAGCCAATGAAACCTCATTCTCTCATTTTGATGGGTGAATATTTAAGAGAAATACATATATGAAAGTGATTGTGGATTTTCACAAATTGCCATTGCTGTTAATTTTATAACAATAATCCTTTAACGTGCCCTATTTGAAAGCCCACATATACTACATAATTAGACGCTTTGTTTTCAAATTAGATCATGGTTTTTGCACACTTTTTAAAATTTTTTTTGGGGGGGTACCAGGATTGAACTTGGGTCCTTGCACTTGCCAGGCAGGCAGCAGAACCTCCAAACTAAATCCCCGGCCCAGATCATGGATTTTTCAATGAGACCCAATCCTCCTTGAAATATGGAACCAAAGAGGGTGTCGATTACTTATTGATAATCCTCATATTACCAAATGCAGCTCAGAATACACAGTGAGCACTCAACAAATGTACACTGGATTGAATTGCAGGTGAAAGGTTTTCTTCATGCAGGGACGATGTTATTAGTTATATAGGAAAATAAATTCAATGTTTCCACTGGTCAAATAAGACAAAAGGAGAGAAAGAAATGAGTGTGTGTATCTGGTGAGTGTACATATCTGCTGCTAGGACTCCGTTCTGTGCTCAGAGAGCAGGCTACGCACCGGTGCAAATCCTCCATGTTCCTTTCCCACATCGAGCACGTCAGTCCGGACCTTGTTTTGGATAAGCTGCCCATATAATTTTTTCCATTCCCACGATAACAATCTAGACACAAAATATCCAAAAAGACAAGTGATGAATACTATGAAAGGTAAAGCAGAAACGTTTCACAAGTATATGAAATCACGAAAATCAATATGATTAAAAAAAGAACCTGAAGTGCGTAGAATTAGAAGCCTAAATATCTCAAATTAAAATATCCCTATTTCCGGTTCCATGGTGGCTTCATTAACATAAGTGATTCTGCAAATTCAAAGGTGAAACATTAGATAAGAATTCATTAGGCTACCAAATAAATGAGAACTTTTAGAGTGACCCAGATTTCCCAGGATTCCTTCTGAAAACTTTCTTTCAACAGGAAGGTTGCAGAAACAATGAAATGAAAGGCACAGAGGGTCATAAGGTCACACTGGTGCTTTGTTTCTGTGTCCGACACTGCCACCGAGTCACCCACACCAGCTGCCCTCCGAGTGCTCTTCGACTACAGTTTGCTCACTATTTGCTTAGGAATGGAATGGAGTTAAAGATGCTGGTCTGTACTTTCACAGGGTGGCCTCTCTGTCCTGTCCAGTGTACTGCCAGCCTGTGACCAGCCTGTGACCCGCTACATCTGTCCAGTCACCAGTGCTGACATAGTTAACCCTTCTGCTAAGTGCTGTCAAGGAAAAACTTATCTCTGTATGTAGCCAAAACAATGCCCCCAGGCTTTTGAAACTGATTAGACATTTTATTGCCAAACAAAGTTACACAAAGTGGCTTAAGTGTACTTGGGTGAATTTACATGAATCAGTTATTACTGTGCTGGTTGTAAAAGGGTTGTTTTTCTAATATTTTTTTCTATTTCTAAGTTAGTATTCTTTTGTAAACAGGAAGACTTTCCCCCTGCCCTTCCATCTGGGAATCAGAAATGCAGCTATTGTAACAGAAAAGTTATACTGTAGCAGAACTGGGAGTGTAATGTGGACTTGTGGATTCTCTTTTTATTCAGTGTTCTATATAATTTATCCCTGTTATTTTCATGATCAGAATGATCATTTGGCCAATTGCAACCACTTTAATCTGAGTCTTCTGTCTCTTACCATGTTCCAGGAGGCTTTATTTCCCTTTTTAACCAAGCAATCTGTGCCCTATTACCATGGGTAGAAGTGTCCCGATTCTTAACAAAAAGAAATTAACAATATAAGTTATTAATCCATGTTTAAATGGTAACAGCCAGGTGTGGCAGTGTAGACCTGTAATGCTGGGTAATCCAGAGGCTGAGGCAGGAGAATGATAAATTTCAGGCTACCCTAGACAGGTAGGCAGGTAAGGCAGTGAGATTTTGCCTCGAAATAAAGAATGAAAAGGGCTGGGGATGTAGCTCAATGGTAGCCTGGGTTCTATCCCTAGTACCAGATAAAAGAAAAAGAAAAAAGGAACACCATTTCATAGCTACAAATAATATTTGTCAATTAAAAAGTGACTTTATTAAACACTCCTAATTTTACATAAATAAAACTGTAAATTTAACTATAAAACATTGTCTTCAAGTGCACATTAACATTATGAATATCCTATGCTTCCTGGTAAGACGCAGCATGTCAGTGGCTTTAAAATGTCCTGTATGATTAGAGTAAATCATACGTAACCAACCCAAATAAAGTTGATTAAATGATAATAATTTGATCTCTTCTGGGAACCAGTTAAAATAGTTTTTAAAAAAAGTATCTTCAAAGATCAGTGTTCCTACGAAATTTGTATTTCTGTGCTATGAGGAGTTGGACTTAAACGTAACAGCTCAAACAGTGTAGGACTTTGATGCAGGTGACTGACAGCCGTTGCAGTGCTGACCAAGGTGTCATTAGACAGCGTGAACTTGGGAGACCCAGCAAGGGCGCGTGGGAAGAGGCCAGCGATGAAAGCATCTCCCCTGACAAGGCTGGCTTTCCTTAGCAGGGAACCCGGCCTGTGACAGGAGGGAGCAGCGCTCTCTCCAAGCGCCCTGGGCTGCTTGTCCTAATCTGTATCCGTTCCGCTGTGTTCACCTGCATTTTCTAGCTAGGATGGAAGGCTCATCTCCACCAACAACTTCTCATTTGAACATGGGCCAACAGCTCGGTTTCCCTTAGTGAGCGCTTGATTTTAAAAGAGGTTGTAGCTCAGGATGAAGAGGTCAAGCTGACAGCAGTTCCACTGCCTTGTAATTTCTTCTCCTGCCGAGCCTTAGGTGGCTGATTTAGGTCCCTCACTGCTGCCCCCTAAAGTTAACACATTAACCGAAGCTCCTACTTTTGTTTCACACTTTCTTAGTCTTTACCTACTGTTCTGCCTCCCAGGATCCACCCTGTCCTCACTGTATTCTAAGGCTCCTTGCTGTGACTGCTTCCCAGACTCTCTGTTGTGTTACTGTTGCTGCTGTGGTGTATTTATTTACCTGTTTTTATTATCTGTTTTTATTGGCTCGCATTTGCCACACTCAGTAACGAGCTTCAGCATGGGGAATGGGTACCTGTGTGTAACACATCTTAACTCTCCTTTCCTTTCCTTTCCCCTCCCTCCCTTCAACCCTCGGATTCCACCCTCCCCATTCACAAAGCTTTGTTTCCAGTTGTTGTTCTATTATTCTTCTTTTATAAATCCCCCCTTTCTGCCTTCCCTCTCTTTGCTCTCCCTTGCTCCCTTCTTGCTTGAATGTGTCCTTCCTGCCTCCCCGCCCTCTCTGGTTTTGATGACACCGGTGGTTCTGACGGCTGGTGAGAGGTGTTTGATAAAATATCCTGCGATGGAACTTGCCTCGTGCCTTCCTCAGGGCTCAGAGTGCCCAGGAGGAAGGCATGAATGTTTCAGCACTTCCTAATTGCTACTCCCTTTTCCTGATGAGTTTGGGTAGTGCGGGCCTCTGTGCGCGCCCACACCTTTATGCATCACGAGCAACTGCGACTGCTCGAACTTCCACCAAACACCACAGCGTTCTCCTTCTCCCAACCCTCACAGTTTTCTACCTCCTTTCTCCCGAAGTAGGAACCTTGATTCCAAGTAACATCACTACTGGTTCATTGTCTCCGTTCTACAACACACACAAACTCATTTCAAAGCTCTTATATTTTAATACTAACAAAAACAACCAATAATTTAAAGTACAACCTAGAGGTGGTGGCTCACACCTGTAAACCCAGCAGTCTGGGAGGCTGAGGCAAGAAGATTGCCAGTTCCAGCCCAGTCTTGGCCACTTAGTAAATTAATGAGACTCTTTCTTAAAATAAAAAATAAAAAAAGAGGCTGAGAAATACGGCTCAATGAAAAGGTCCTTAGGCCAAAATAAATAAACACAAAATATAGTTAGTTATTTTAGCCTTAAAATATATATTCCAGTGAGGATGAATACAGTCCCTGAATTTTACTTTAAAATGATCTAGACCTTTGTCCTTATGTGTAGTAATGGTATCCATCTGATACACAGATTGACCCATTTCTGTTTTTCTCCCACTACCTTTGGTTTTACTTTTTGAGTATCTAAAACATTCCTGTTGGCGAATTGTCAAAACTGTATGAGAAGGTGTGTTCAACCGAGTGTCCCTTAGCCTTTCTCTTCCGTTTCTCGCTGTGTCTGTCCAGGGCCCTGCACGGCCCGACAGCAGCTCCCCTGTGCTGTCTGTGGTTTCAAAGTCATGAGTTTAGGGAGACACTCCCTCTATTTCCTTCTATCTCATTCTGTACTTCTTGTCACACAACGAACATACTCTTCTGTGCCTTCCTCTGTTAAAATGTAGCCGTGTGTGTGGAAAGCACAGGTTGGGCGGTTTCCGAGATTCGCTGCTCAGTGTGCCCTTCGCAGTGTCACGCGCAGTGGCTCTTACAGAGGCCCTGTGCCATTCACCATCACAGATAATGCTGCTCTGAAAACTCTGTGGGCCTCCTGTGTTCACTAGTGCATTGCGGAATCCAAATCTATACGATTTTCACTGTCACATTCAGCAATCTAATGTAGCTCGAGCTTCTTTTCCACCATGACATAAGGCATGCTAATCTTATCATTTTTTCCACATGGCTGCCCTATCCATTCATGACTGTATTTTATCCAGTGACATACATCCCCGCATACTACTATTATAAATATCAGCAGGCACGTGGGTGTTTCTAGACTTTGTACTTCCTTCTACTTATCAGTATCTTCAGGAGTGACAGGTATGTTCTTTTAATCTTAAACTCTTCATAAAATTCTTTTATTTCTGGTAAGGTAAAACCCTTCTCATTTCTCTCCTTTCCAAAGTTTTCCCTGTTACACTTTGTTCTGGCTTGTACCCTGATGTAAACCCAAAGCCTCATGCACTTTTCTGAGGAGGGTGGATCTAGGGTCCGTGAGGACTGATTGAGGACGTGTGATAACCTACTCTGCAGTCAGAGCAACATTTGTATGCATTCTAATTCTGATGCTGTGAAATTTGAAAATAGGTTCTCAATTTGTTCAACTACGTGTGAAACATAGTTCCTGCTGTATGAGAGTGATAAGAGCAACAGCCTTTCATACACGCATTTGTGTGCCTATGTTTCTGTGCACACAGAGAACAATTCCACCGACAGAGGGTAACAATGCCTGCACGAATGTGGCAGTGTCACACAACAGCACAGCTCCCACGGAACCCCCCGGCTGACTGCTGAGCTGGCGGGCAGCGCTGGTGTAAGCCCTAGGTCTACGCCTCCGTGGCAGAGTGGAAGCTGACCCAGTATGTCAGGCATCAAGTGCAAAGCACCATCAAGAATCAGGAGGAATCAAAGAAAAAGAACATGGAATAACAGAAAGGTCAGGATAAGGAGAATCGGACTGACCACCAATTATGCCAATTTGAGAATTCGGCCAAAATTATTTAAATTCCATAAAAGTATTTTAATCTATTATTGACTGGATTTAGTAGGTGAGTAATAATACCTACTTAAACCCCAAGATACAGTACTACCCACTGGCCTTACCTGACCTTTTTCCCCTGAGCGCGGGGTCTCTGGGGTTCCTAGCCGTACGGGCCCACAGGTCACAAGCACCTGTGCTCTTTGCCTAAATGCCCGCATGTCCTCCTCTCTCCTCCCTCCCTTCCGGCCTCTCTGGTGACCCTGGCACCTAGGACCTTCCCTGAGCAGGACAAACTGAACAGCAAAGTCCCCTCCTCTAGGCCCTTGCAACCCCCCTCCTCGCCCCGGTGGCCCCGGCATTTCCGCAAGCGCCCAGCGTCACTTCCGGCTGCCTGTGTTCTCTGCGGGGAAGCGGTCCTCTCTGTCTTCGGAGCCTGGACTGGCACTTAAGGGAGTCGATAGTCAGTCACTGCACAGTGCGTGACCAGTGCATGCAAGAGAGCCAGCTCCAGGCCTGTGGGCCTCCTCGCGAGCCAGCGAGCCCCGCAAGAGGAGGTCAGGGCCGCCCGCTGCGTCCTCCCAGAGCCCCGCCGGGATGTCAGCAGTTACCTTGTCCGCCAGCCACGTCGCACTTGGGAATCTGGGAGCAGTAGCCCACGCGGAGGCTGGGGTCAGTGGTGAAGCACCAGGGCGACTCGGCTCCGTCTGGATTCCGGCAGTAGTTCTCTCGCAGGTCCCTGTCAGGAGCAAGCACAGAGGTGAGGCCAGAGTCTGCAGCAGGGCGGCCCCGGCCACAGCCTCTTCGCTTGCACCCCTAGATGGAGCCGGGCGCCAAGTTCCCAGACGCGGGAGGCTGTGCGGGTGTGGACCACAGTGCAGGCTGCCACCTGCCAGCCTCACTCAGGACCTTGTGGGAGCACGTCCAGTCCCTCACGACCCACGTCTCTCCCGGGAGAAAGGCTGTAGGGAACCACGCATCGCGGCGCGGCTCTGCAAACCCCACTGAGACTGCTCGGTCCGGTACCACCGCGAGAACCTCCCACGTGGGTTTTCCCTGGAGTCCGTGTGGCTTGGGTGGCTCTATTTTCCTACACTCATTTTTTAAACTACAAAGTAGCTCTTGACTTGGAAGCCCCACCTGAGCTCTTTGTAAATATTTCTGGGAAAGTAAGCCCTAATTATAGAGAAGATTTCTATGTAGCACATGTATGGGCATTATTTTATCCACGTTTTGATTAGAAATGCAGAGGTCCCTATAAGGAAAAAATGTCAACATGAATATTCTCTCTGTTAAACAGAATTTTGGTGTTTTTCTCTCTTAATATAAGGTTCATGTGAAATAAACTGTGCAATTTAAGATTCGTTTTCCTGAAATATGCTTTCTGATTTTAAGTATTTCTCTTTTTTAATAGATCTCTGAATAGTAGTTTATAGTATTGAATATAACGGGAATCACAGTATTTATAATAACAGGCCCACTAAGAAGTACTACAATGCCATGAATTCCCACCTAGACCATCAGAAGCTGCAAAGGTTCCCAGGAAAAAGTCTGTATTCAAGTAAGAAGTTAAAAAGTAATAGTCTGTCTTGTCGGTGTCGATCTTGACAGAAACTGTGTTATTAACCTGGGAACATGATTTCCCAATAGGTAACGCCAATATATCAGAAGTGTTTGTCTAATAACTCATATTCACCTTCTTATAAAATTAACTGAAAGAGAGGAAGTAAACCTTTATTTTCTTTAAATTAATATATACTTATATTTTTAAAAGATTATCTGCATTACATTTCACATAAAATCTGCACAAATTTGCAATTATAAAATTGCAGAATTACTTGGTGACGTTATTTTGTATTTTCAATCAAAAGTTCCGCTTGAAGAGTTATTTATCATTACTAAGGTGAATTGTTCATTACCTAACATCACAGGTGGCTACATCCCATCAGTGTTTTAAAAAGTGTCATTTGTCAATTGTCAGTGGTTCTGCTGCCTGCCTTGCAAGCACAAGGACCAGAGTTCGATCCCTGGTACCAAAAAAAAAAAAAAAAAAAAAAAAAAAAAAAAAAAAA